AAGTTCTGCACCACACAGAAGTAAAGATCACTTATTTTTTTACTTTTGGGGTTTTTTGGAAAGAATTTTGCTAGCGACTCCTGACTGTCCTGCTGAAAAAAAAATGAAACTGTCACCCAAATCACTGGAGAACCGGTAAATGCAACAAAAAAGGGTATTATAACTGCTTTTTTGGTACTTTGCTGTTGCTATCAGTGCCATAACCATGGAGGATTTCCAGATTAGCTCTGTACCCTCTGCCACTGCCATCGCGAGGGCCTTTGGCAATGACTGCTTCGTGCCAGCGTTACAGCTCCTGTACACACGGCTTTCGTGTGTGTTGGGGAAATACAGAGATTTTTCCATAGCGTCACCCCTAACACGGACACTTGTTACCTTGACTCCACTTCTTTGTTCCTTTCCATTTCCTGCCTTTCTTTTTTTTAAAGCTTCAAGATTTGGGGTTTCAGCTAGAACTGGTGATTACTGGGTTATGCTTTCTGAATGCCACCCAGCAAGAAAAATTGCTGTTAATACTGGAAGAATGAAGCAACGTTTCTTCGTACTGTGAAGGCTGCGTTCAGGAGAGGTAACACGTACCTCCCAACACTCCCTTATCCTGACTACGCAGGAAGGGAATTTCCTTAATTAGAACTAAGAGAATTTTTAATTTGCCTTTCTGTGGGTGTCTCCCCCCTGTTAAATTAATACAGTATAACATAGCATTGGGTAAACAAAAGAAAAAAGCGTATTAATGGATTTGAGTTATAACATTGAGGTTAACAGAAAATATAATCACTTCCCTGTGTGCAAAAAATACTACTTTAAAATCCTGAAATGTTAATGTGACTGATTGTGGTTCTAATCTGATAATACTCTACATTTTACATAGTTAGGGATGGAGTTCACCAAAATAGAGTGAATTTTTAAATACGTGTAAGTATAAGGCTACCACAACTAAACTTGATTTTTACAACTCTTTCTGCAATAATATGAGCATCACATAAATTAAATTGTCTCAGATCACCGAAGACAGTAAGATTACAAGAATTTACTCCAATTTAGAGCCTCAAGAGAGGTTTAACAAAAGCAGCGTAACACCAAGGAAATCCAGCTGTGCCCAAGTGGCAAAGCTGGAAGTGCTGGGACCTCTCAAATGAAGCGAGTACAGGAATTTACCTCCAGCAAAACATTGCATTTTCCACTTATTTTCACGTCCAACGTGGCTGAACAGTTATGCTAAAGCTTTTCAGAAAATTCAGCCATCTGACCTTAAAACTCTGAATCCAAACAGCGCAACTTTGGTAAAATTATAAGCTACTAAATGTATGACATTAAAAAATCTTAGGTAAATCCAGGTAAATCTTCTCCAACTCCAAGAGACTATGAGAAACTGAGGCCAATATCCACGAAGGGCCACCGTTCCTTCATTATAGCTGGAGTGGGACACGTTTCAGTTTCCAAGATGAAAGCTATACAACCGTTTCATTCCAGCTGGTTTTATGCAGTTTAGCTGATGAAAATCTAAATTTCTCAGGCTGCGCTGTGGCAACAAGCGCTCTCTCCAAAGATAAGAATAATACATCGAGGGAACCATTTCTCTTTTTGAATTGATAGGGACTTCATAAGTAAAATGGCAGAAATAGTATAATCTAGAAAATATCAAAAAAATCTCGAGATTGCAAAAAAACCTTGGAATTCCAGAGAGATATAACTAAAAAATGCTGAAAGAATACTTAGCTCCACCAACCTGTGAGAAAAAAAGTGCAAGAGAAATGCTAACTCAGTAAGAAAATCTTTAAAAGATTCCCTACGGAGATCAAAAATACCTCTTCTATATCAAAAGACAAAAAAGACAATACAGAGCCAGGCTGGGGTCCTCTCCGCGTTTTATAAAGCAGTCTGCGAATGGTGCACAAAACCAATTTCAGGAGCTGAATTGCATTTTCAGCTTTGAAAAGACTTGATGAAATTTGAAGGTGGAATGGCCTCCGTGCCTGAGCTGCCCCCGCTGACTTTGAAGGGGGGCTGGCTCTGAAGTGTGGTGGCACTAATTTCAATATAAGGGAGAGCTGTTAATGTCAGATATTCGGAGGAAAGAACCAGCAGTTCTGGTCCCTGAATTTTCTTAAGTTTTTCCCCCCTCGAACATAGTATTAGTGCACAGAGACTATGCTCACATTTTGCTTAATTTTCTTCTAATTTATGAGTAGTACTTTACCCCGCAGCCACGCTGTGAGCAATTTGCTCTCCCTAAAGTTATGTGTGACCCGGAGACCTTTAAGTTCTCCCGCTCCTTGCAAGAGGGATAATTTGCTCTGACCCTTTTGCAGCACAGTTCCCCTTTCTCTTCCAAGTCTGTTTTGCAATGCTCACTGCCCGGGCAAACAGCAGTGCCCTTCACAGCTGCTTCTGACTTAATACCATAAAATTGCCTAACAACTTTTATACTCCGTGCAGGAACTCACTCAGTATTGCTCACCATACGTGCGTCCACTGAGCCGATGTGAAAGACGTGCTCTCATTGCTCCCACAACTGGGCTTTTAAAAAACTCCTATCACATATATGGTAACCCATGAATCTCAGTGATTTACCAAGAGCCAGAAGTGCGCTACCAAATCTAACATCCCACTTTGGCATTTTAAGGTACACAAGGTTTTTTCCAAGAGAAAGTATTTACCAAAAAAAGTGCTTTTAACTGTTTCTGAAGAAATATTATGCAACAAAGTGTAAGACGAGATCAATACGTGTTGGGAGAATTGCTTCCAGTTGTAAGCCGTAGGGTGAATGAAGGTTTGCTGTTTGTAAGCCTGCTATAAGAACGAACATTTTTGTGCTGTTCTGGAAGATATACAGGGAGAACTGTTAAAAAAAAAAAGAAGAAAAAAGCCACAAGGTGTAAGTGCTGCCATGTTTTGGTCCCCAAGAATAGACTGTATATAAATTCAACTGCATTTGAAAAAAACAGACAAGAACAGTCTGTTTTAGTAAAGCTGTGGTTTCATGATTACCTTAAAATGTGGAATACCACTGAAAGAAGGGCAGCTTTCTGCCCCGCTCCCAGCCGCTCTTTGCCTTCACACTAATGAACCTGTGGCTCAAAATTAACATACATATTTTCTAGAGGGTTAATTTTCAGTGGGACTACTCTACTAACCTGGTTTATCAAATGGCTACCCAATGTGTAGTGCTGGTGCAAGGACATGGAGTTGGCAGACAGCACGGGCAATGGCACATTTTGGAGACAGGCTTAAGTCAACCATAAAACTACATCTGGCTTCCCTCTCCCATCATTCAAGTACACAGATAACGAGGTTAACCGGTCTCAGGAAAAAAACCCATACAAATCTATTACCTAGAAAACATACTGGTGCCATAAACTTATAGAAGATGTGATCATTTAATGAGAAAAAGTTAAGCCAAATCTTGTATTCTTGTCCATAGTTACTACTACGATGATTTATCCTGGGATATGAACTGTTAGCTGACGTACTACTTAAAAGCAGCAAAAACCCCCACAAAACAAAACCAGCCAGAAGGAAAAAGTGTTCCCAAACCTTGCTAGATAGTTTTCTCTTGAAAAGATATTTGCCTCTAAATGCATCAAGCAAGCCAACGACTTCCTAAGTCAATTAAACCAATACACACGCATATTTAAATTTATGGTACCTGGCCGGCCCTGTTTTCTTTTGAAGGTGTTTACACAGTGTCATTTATAAGAAACGAATCTAAAGTAACAGGCTATGCAAGAGGAGCTTCCCACTTTCTTCCTATCCCCTCTTTCCATTCTGAATTCCCATGCTTTTACTCTTTCAGACATAAGTAGCACATGTTGTTGTACCTCCATGCTTAGCGTGCCCATATTTTAGCATCAGTAAAATCTCATTTCTACATCGCTTTTAGGCCTGTGACTGTCCGAAGTGGGATTAAAAAGGAAATCTAATCTAGTTATGCAATGCAGCCTGGGTTGCCAAGAGATGCTGTTCTAACAGACAATATCCCAGGCTCTGTGCAGTCCGGACTTTCTGGAGCACTATTCATGCTGCCAGTCAACGGCAGAATCCTGCAGGGACCCTGCCAAAAGACAAAGACTGTATTTCTCCATGTGTCTATACAGACAAGACATACAGACTACCTCAACAGAATGTTTAACCCCAGGGAAGTTACCCAGCAAGAAAAAAATATGGGGCAGCAAAGCAAAGGAGAATAATGCCAGGCAAGCAGCTTTTCAGCAAAGCTTTAATATTTTTTAATCCTATCTCTTGTTTCTGTCCTGCTGTTACCAACTTCAGGGGGAAACTTAGCAGACTGTTAAAAGACAGCAACAAGATATGTCACAGTGTCATTTAGGAATCGTTCAAACAGCAGACATGAAATTAAATGAAGAAAATTTTGATGTTATGCCAAACCAAAAAGTTTCAGTCATTAGCAAATCCCAGATGCTGCAAAAGCCAAACGAGTGCGGGCACACGTGTGTGCTAAGATGTTCAGGGCAAAGTCCACCAGACGAGATGGGACCCATAGCAACTTTTCTGTAGAGAGAAAGTATCGTAATTCTCTTAACTCCAAAGTTCTTAAGATCGTCAGAGAAAATCAGACACTCGATTTTACTTGCAATGAATCCTTTGAAACAGTAGAAATGGCTATGATGTCTTGGAATTATGGAATTATGTGGTATTTAAACCCAAGATTATTTGTCTTATAATGACAGCAAAGAATCTTCTTTTTTTGTAAATATATTCTCCAATACTCTTACAGTTGTACAATTTTGTAAAAAAGAGACCACAGATTGCTGAAATAACCATTAAACATCATCAGAACCGTTTTTCCCCACAGGAATTTTCCATTTAGAAGCAGTAAGTCAAATGAAAAGACAATTTTTGTCACGCTTAATGATGATGACTACAGTCAGGAGATTTCTCTTTGGATAATGAGAACATGAAAAAGGCTGTGACATGCATATACTGTGTCTGGCTTTAACTTTAAACTGACCTAAAGGCAAAAAATGTTTATTTCTTACCTGCTACTGAATTTGGCCGTGGCATAAGGTAAAGAGGAATAGACTGCACTGACTGGGACAAGACTGTCTCCAGGTTCCTCTCTGGAATTTTGTTCAGGCTGTAGGTGGAAGCCGTCATGTTCTCATCCACGCGGTATAAGCAGGAGTCCATGCTGGATTTCTGGGACTGCCAAGGTTTCAGGTTTCCTCCAGATCCAAGTTCTTTACTGCCTTCCCCTCCATATTTAGTGCGTTCCACATTTTCTGAGTAACTTGTCAAAGTAGCTTGAAGGAAGAAATTATAAACAAAATGAGTAACAAAGAAAGAATGGCTTGCACACACGCTGCTCTACGCCGAGTTGTGCAATGCAAGAGCCAAGAAACGATGTTCATCATATTTTCCACATTCACATAAATCAAAGATTATGGAATTTAGTTTAATGATGCTGTTCCTGCTTACTACTTCTAAAAGAACATTTAGGCTATAATGTTTTGGATCATACTGTTAAAAGCCATTTGTAATTACAAAGAGTATTAAGCGTTATATTCGAATACACAATTCCAGAAAGTATTAAGGAAAAAAACATCAGCACTCCTCATATCTTTTAATTTGCATCTAGTTACCACCTTTTCAGCGAATATTTGCAGAAGTTTATAACCTTGCAGTGTCTGACACTGAAAAGCCGCAGGCACAGAAAGCCCCCACCTGACTTGCATGAACAACCAGCTCTCATGGATTAGTTTGGTTCAGAAACTGAACCCAGTATCTCGTTTGATTGACAGCAAGTTTTTACGAAGCTTTAACTGTAATCCACACATTTTCCCTTGTATTATTTCATTTTACAGATCAGGATTGTTGCTGTACTGACTTTCACATAGGGAAGTGACAATACTATACTGATCCACACCACTAACGTCTTCTCCCCGTTGGTGTTTTCCCTTCTGAATTCTGATGCAGTTATCCCCTGGCTGTAATTCCCTTCGGGCTGTGGACTTTCCTTTCATCTTTAGTCTCCCATATATTAGTTCAAGGTCATAATCAGACCTTTTAGGTATTAAGAGAAGGTCCCAACGCCCATACCAGCTCATCTGAGTGTGTCAAACTTGCCTGCTCCCTAACTTAGGGGGAGGGAAAAAAACAGAAAGAAAAAAAAAGAGAGATCACAGACCAGAGTTCACTATCCTCTCATTGCCCCAATCACACACATTTCCACTGCTATTCAAAACCCTGAAATTTAATTCGACCCTGGAATATCCCGGACGTGCCCTGGGCTTGTAGATCTACTTGCTAAATCCAGTGAAATCTGGCATTTTCATGTTGCCGTGGTAAATATCTTTCCCAGTCCAAATTCTCTGCTAATTTCTGTGCCATCTGTCCCTGGACACAACAGTGTGGATCTACCGCTTCTTGTCTGCAACACAAACCACACTGTAACGTCTCCCCAGGGGCAGCCTTCCTGCCTTCACAAAAGCCCATTCCTGAACCAAGGGAGATGCTGCCTCATTAACAAACACCACCACATTAATTTTTATATTGATAAACACAAAGAGTAAATTACTTCAAAGACTCACATGCTTTTAGGCTAAAGCTTTTTCCATGCCAAGTTTTAAGAGTAAGCAGCCTAGAAAAGAAGTTCCAGCCAAAGAGCACCTAAAGGAAGATGCAGTTTAATTGCAAATGGATAAGGGTTATTTAGTTTGTTTTTCTAAATGCATCCAGAAGCAGAGCACTACATATTTTAGCCAGTTGTTTACATGTGGAGGAATTTACAGGAGTAATTTCACTGCCTAACATTAGGCATTCGATGTAAATTTTCAGAAACACCCATATAGATCTGACAAAATACGAAAGTGATGACACTTAAAGCCAGGGGCTCTGGAGGGCTCTCCTTACCGAGGTGCCAAGCAGGCTGCTGGGGTCTATCCCAATGCAAAACCATGAACTTCAATGTCCAAGGACTAATCTGGTTTAATTATACATGTTAAATGTCATTATAATAGGAACCAGAATTAACTGCTTATGTCTGAAGTCGCAAAATCATCATTAAAAAAAAAATCAAGACCTGTAATTCTCACTGTGCTTGTTCTTTATCCCCCCCAACAAAGTCCATGCAGCTTCAACCTTTACCTCTATTTCTATCGTTTTATTTCTCAGTATTGGGTTTCTTGTCTATGCAGTGGGATCAGCATCTTCATATCTCATCAAGGGTTCCAAAATTTAGTTGTTTGTAACATATTTTGCAATTTGAAACCAACACATGCAACTGTTAAGAACCGCTATTTGCTTGTTGGCATTTAAACATAGGTTTGCTGTCAGGTAAAAACATTTACACTTTAGCATACGAAGACAAGATATAAACAAGAAACAGATGTTCACAGATCTCTCTTGTTCCCTCAAATTGTTTAATATTGAGAAATAGGTTTTAAACTGGTTTCTAGAAAATCTCCATTTCAAAGTCTGGGTCTGCAGTGCTAGCCATACTACGTTGTCTATTTACAGAAAAAAAATAATCCATTGATCCATTAAAATCCATTAATTTTAAAAACCTATCTCAGCATATGTCTAATTAACCTTTGTAGAAACACGTCAGCAGCCGAAATCAGTCACCTTCCAATACATCAAACTGAGGAAAACCAAAATAACTATGTGTCAAAATAAGTTTTCTCTAAATGAAGCAACAAAAAAAGAAAAAAGAGCTAATAAATCCTGCTGGTCCCTTTTCTAATCGTCAATTTGTGTTCACTTTAAACATAATCTTCACTGTTTTACACTAAAGCTGTTTTATGTGCAAACTCGTCATTGAATCAGGTATTTAGGATTGTTCCCTGTGGATTAATTTACCTTCTGAACAGCCCTGGATGATATAAGTACTGCTACACAGGCTGGAAGCGATTGCTCTATGGACTTAATCTCTTCTATGAGCTATTTTAAACCAAACCAATTTTGACTTTATTTGAAAGGCAAAAACGTAAGGCTACCTACAAGCCCGCAGCATGAACCAGCATGCAGAGCACGTCTCCTGGGGAACTAAAGCTTACCAACGGTGCGACCCAGAGAGCTACTCAGAAATCACAACTTCACAATCAAAATTTGAGAAAGCAACATCTAGTTTCAGAAAATTCACATTATCAGACACTCAGGCGTAAAAAGTTGGTCATGCTTATGTACAAAAAAAGCGCCAAGATTTCTTGGGTAGAAAGAACTTCGTGTCAGCCCCCGACGGGACCAAGCCCATGAACACCCGCAACCAGAAGGAAATCTGCAAAATAACATTCTTTCTGCCAGTTTGCCATATTCATACCCGAAAGTTTCCAGAGCCGCAGAGGGTATTCTAGGACAGGGCCTGTGCTCATACGGTTCGGGTGTGTGAGTACATCTCCCCATCATCTCCTGCACTGGACCCTGCGGGGGATTAACTGTGCTTTACAGCAATAATCTCTTTAGAGGGTTGCACGGGGAATGAAGACCCACCCTCGGGATGAATCCGACTCACAGTCACAACAGGGCTCCCGTTGCATCATTAATGTACCTAAACCATATCTACATGTTAAGAATATTTTGGGCCTTAATCCAGATGCAGATAAGCCGCCTGAAATGGACAACAGCAGCTACAAACTAACATGACGACATCGCTGTCCATACTTCTATTGTCAAGCAGATATTTGTATACATAGAACACAGAAGGAGAGCATCAGAATATCAGGTTATACTAAAAATTGACTTTCAAGTTAAGATTCCTTGTGATATTACTACTTTGGTTAGACTGAACATCTAAACCACAAAACAAGTATTTTGTGCTCATCCTTTGACATCTCTTTGCTCTGTAACTCACAAGTATGACTCTGGCTAACCCAGCCGATGGCCTTTCGCAGGAGGTCCCAATGATGAAAAGTCCCCACAGACCCCAATTATACATTACATTGTTTAAATTGTGTCAGTGCTAAATGGAGCTGCAGGAGCACTCATGGACTCAGCTTAACCCACAGGCGAGAAACCTGGTGTCTGAGGTTTTCATCACTGGCAACATCGCAGCTCGCAGGACACACTCGGGGTTTGCAGGATGAGGGGCATGACAGCCTCGGGAGAAGGAGAGCCCCCTTCCCCGAGGGGACTCATAGCATCCCTGCCACTGGAAACTGGAAAACTGGAAAATGACAATGGAATTGTCACACTGACGGAGATAACAGAATTAACACTTTGTTAATACAAGGTTTAAAAAAGAAACAAATGGTCCTTCAGGTATTGCCAGAGAATTTCTTACAGGTGAAGTTTTTACAACGAGCGCGGTGAGACACAGGTTGCCTAGAGAAGTTGTGGATGCCCCATCACTGGAAGGGCTCAAGGTCAGGTTGGATGGGGCTTCCAGCAACCTAATCTACTAGTGGAAGATGTCCCTGCTCGCAGCAGGGAGGTTGGAACTACATGATCTTTAAAGGTCTCTTCCAACCCACACCATTCTGTAATTCTATGATTTTTACACCCTATATAAGGATACCTAATCTGCCAAAAGTTCAAAAAAATGCAACCTCTTAACAGATAGCATGGTCTAAATTTGGGAAAGATAAACTGATGACCTCAAATCCATCAAAGAGCAGGAATTTTTGCCTTAAGCCATCTGCTGAGAGGCAGATTTTTCAACCCTGAGTCTCTTGACATACCCAGCGCATCAGGTTACGTGATGGGACACGTTAAGCTGGGGGTGGCACGACAGGAACACACCATGATGCGAGAAGGTCTGCAGAGACGCCGTGAGAGAACACGCGTTTACGTGAAGCTCTTTTCACTGCTGAATCCAGCCAGAAAGCACAATCCTGGTGAAAAAAAGCAGAACATCGCAGTGCCTGGGCCCTGCCACACCGGAGCCGGTGAGCTGCCATCACACAGACCACGGTGCGTGCCGGCGGCTGTCGGAAGCAGAAGAGATGTCGCTGCCTCGTGGAGGCACAGAGAGGGTTATTGCAGGGGACGGAGTAAGACAGGGGCAGCCGGGCAAGTCACACACTCAACATTCAAAACCCGACAGCTATGCAGAAACATCTGAGGTTCTCTGTAACACTGAAGTAATACCATATGTATATAAATATAGATGTGTGGTGTGTGTGTGTGTGTATATATATATAATTTTTTATATATATATATGTATCTCCAGTCTCAGCTGGCACGCAGTCTGACACTTTAATATGAACACAGATAGAATTTGAGGCATCTAAAACATCTGAGCACTGTAGAATACATTAATGAATAGTTAACATGGAAAGACCCTCAAATGAGAGGATGCAGGCAG